CCCCAAAACCCCAAAACCCCAAAACCCCAAAACCCCACCTGGTATAAAAGCGATAATTGTGAAAAATGTTAAAAATAATATATCCAACTATTTATGAATGATACCATCTACTTTAAACACTCCCAAAAAACTCAGTTGTTGAGCAAAGCTATTCATAATCCCCCAACTCTGTCTCTAGGTATCATTTTCAATTCTGATCCATGCTTTAAAAACACAGTGCCTAATTAGGGTGTCAAATTGAATACCAAATTAATTACCTGCAGTTTGCTAGGGATTAATTCCGACTCCAGTATTAGTAATAATGGCAGTAGTACCTGGGTTGACTTTGAATTCCTCAGCTACGAATTTAACACAGGCAGTAAATGGAGCACCCTCTGGAACTGATATACTATTTTCAGGTTGATTAATAAATGCACAGTTTATAGATTAACATACGTTCTAAAGGGTAATTTAGGGTCTGAAGCATTAGTGATCTTGAAAGTAACTTTCTATTATACAGCCTTTTGCTTTGGTGCTTCAACTTTCTCTTCTCTATTATTAAAATATATTGTTATTTCAAGTATTTGGATATTGATAATCTTACTCTTGAACTTCTTGCTTTTATGCTAGTGTGTCTTAGGCCTCTGCAGTCTCCATTAATAATTAATTATTATGTATTGATAACTTATTTTACTTTAATAATAACTAATATTATATCAAGATGGAAACTACTATGATAAATTAAGAGGAGGAATAAAAAGAGAATCATTTTACTAAAGAAAGCTAGCCAATATAAAAACCAACTCGCTATCCTAAATCATATATTAAGATAAAGACAATCTATGATGAGAAATTATCAACAGGCTTTTGCTGTGATTTCTCTCATTTGAAAAGCATCGACTATAGACATGTATATGAGCCAAGCGAAGACTCTTTTTTATTGATAGATGCACTCTAACTAGACTTAGATTATATAATAAAGACAATCAAGCCTTTGTATATTGTAGAGATTGGGTAAGTTATTTTAATTAGAAGATATTAATGCTATAAATTAGTTAGAGTGGGTAGTGGAGTTGTTATTAATAGTCTTTAAAAGTTATTGGCTCAATAATCATTCAACGATGCTATTTACTTTGGAATTGACATCAATATCAAAGCACTAGATGTTACTCTTAGGACAGCTATATAGAACAATTGTGATGTCTAAGTGATTCAGCAAAGTTTTTGCCACAATTTTACAAATCTAATGAAAGGTTCTGTTGATGTCTTTATTTTCAATCCAGTATGAATTTGATTACTAATTCTTATTCTAATAGCCTTATGTTGTGACTCCCGAAGATGAATTAATGAAAGCATAGCAAAAGCGAGACATTGAAGCATCCTGGGCTGGTGGTAAAGACGGCATACAAGTCTTGATGGCTTTTATTCCAAAAGCATATGAATTTTTATCAGAAAAAGGAGTGTTTTACCTACTTTTAATTGAGGAGAATCTTAAAATCCTTAAGAGGCTAGGAAAGTTGTTTGATATTGTCTACTTAGTGAAACGTGAATGCCCTGGAGAGAGGTAAGTCATTCTCAGACTAACTAAAAAGTAAAAATGAAGTAGCATTAAGATTAATTAAGAATGAGAGTTAAAAATCTTGAGTGATGAAATTAAGTTTACAAAATATACTAATAAATACTCAATAGACTATTACTTAATCTAATAATCTCTAATAGTTATTCTTTTAATACTTATAGCTATTCTGAGTCTTCTTCAGGCCTTGCACTTTATTTTCATAAGTAAGATTATTGGTGTGGAGTGTTGCTTTTAGCAAAGTTAAGTATATTTATAATAGATCTCTCAGCTTATGAGCTAGGATTTGGGAATAGATCTCTGTGTGTAGGACTATTTTACTTAGTGTAGAAGTTAACTCCAGTTTTATTGGCATGTTTTACTATTTTTTCTCTATATATCGATGATGCTTTGCTATCATTGAACTCTCTATCGACCACCCCTCTTCCTGTAGACCACTTACTATGAGTCTTCAGCGCATTTTCAGAATATTATGTCTGAGGGGCAGTTTTTATTGAGCTTAAAGTCATTTTCTAGTATTTTTCTCGCTCAGTCTTCTTCTTCGCCTCTATAGTCCTAGACAAGATTTCTGAAGTGTCCTTATCTTCCATTTTAGCAGCGACAAACTCATCTAGTGTACCATTTTCCTCTAGAAATTTATAGTGAAGTCTTGGTATCTTTAGTCTGAATTGTAAATCTCTCACTTAATCTTCTAACTTTGCCTTATCTTCCTTAAGTATTGTGATTGTGTTATCTAGAATGCCCATTTCAATTACAGACATATTTTAATAGCTTATGTACTCTCTGCTAATAACTTCTTTTTCTTTATAAAAGTTTTCCTCCACTTCATTTAATTGCTTAATATGCTCTGTGTTCTCTTTGAACCTCATAGATTCAAGACTAGATATTTTAAACTTCAATTCCTTTATAACATCCTCTAAAGTTTTTTCTCTATCCCTCAGCGTCTGCATAAAATATCTTGTAGACTCCTACTCATGCTCCATAAAGCCAATCTAATCCTTAAGAGATTTGTACTTTCGTTTGTAAACTTAGATTAGTTCTCTTTCAAACAGATTAAGCTTTTCTTCTAGAGTTAGAGTAAGGTGAGAGCCATATAACTTAAATGCTTTGTTTAAAAGCTTATCGCTTTTTAGTTCTTTAAGAGCATCAGATTTTTTCCCCATTAGTTTCTGATGCAGCAAGTCTTGCTTTAACTATTACAGTGTATTATCACTTTCTTATATATCTTAGTGCATCATCTCCAATTAATCTTCATCGTTTTAGGCAAATACTCTCAATTCTGCAATTATTGTTTCCTATTCTAAAACTCGTTTTAAATACTCATCAGCTTTTTCATTCAATTTAACTAGATCAGACTGAAAACCATAGATTTAACTCAGAATCTTATTCATTTCATTTTGAAGTAACTGCTTTCCTCTTGTTAAGCTATACTCTACGTATTCTATTGCTTTTTCCTTTGCTTTATATTGCTAAGTTCTGATCTCTACTTAATATGCCTTGATTATCTTGTTAAGCTAGTTCTAGAAAAATTTCTTATCAAACTCGAGAATTTCTTTAGTCAGCATGTATTTCTTATCCTTAATCTCATTGAAATATCTCTGCAGGGGAGTCTTGGATAGATTCTTTAAGTAATTGATTTTTTCAGTTGTGGTTTTAAAGTTATTGTCTACATCATGCTCGATTTACTAGGCATAGGCATTCAGTTTGCTTTAAAGACGGTCGATATCCTTTTTAGCACTAATTTCTCTTGGATCACCACTTTTTTGACGCTGCTTTAAGACATATTCATAATTTGCCTAATCAGTAAATTTCATTTTTTCATCATCACCCTAAGTCACATCGAATAGGCTACTCTTAGAATTTGCCTCATTAGTTTTGTTAATATCCCCTACATCATAAGTTGATCGAACAATTAGTTAGCCTGGAAATCTAAGCAAAAGTTTGGGATCCAAATCCATTTTCTGTCCCATTTCGAAATACTCGTCATCACTGAAATCATAAGATTAATTGAGATTTTGCTGCTAAAATATATCCAGTTCTCTTTTAAGCCAATTTGGATCGACCTTCAAATTCATTCCCTCAATGGGTATGCTATTCTCTTTTTTATTTCTAAACATTTACTTCGCTATCTCCTTCTTTTTTTCATCATTATCTACAGCCTAATTTCCTTAATTTCCTCCAATATGGGGTAATTCAAGATTATCATCTTCAAAGTAATTGAGATTATGTGCATTTATATTTAAAGTTGAAGTGATTCCATTGCTATCATCCTCTTTGATTTCATCTGAGGCTTTTCTATATCGTCTAGAAAGTTTCCCTAATCTGCCAGCAGGACTACCCTCATTTAGGATTGAAAACTCTTTCTGTTGAATCGTCTGCTTAAGTATAGACTTTTTTTAATTCAATTTTTCTTCATTCCTTTAGTATATATTATTTACAGTCATATCGAGTTCATCTTATCTTATTGTTTCAGTAGCTAGCTACTCCATAGTGTATTCTTTCTTAAAGCGAACTCTGTGCTCAGCAACACTTGATGATACTCTATGTTTCTTAGGTGGATTAATGTCATTAAGATCTTTGTTCAATATTTACTGTCCTAGAGGTTTCAACTAACGGCCTTTCATTAACTTTTAGAAAATAAAATTACAAGTTTAAATGTTTTAATTTTATAATCGATAATTATTTGTGAAAATTATTTATAATTTGATGACGGGGTTTTGGGGTTTTGGGGTTTTGGGG